GGAGACAAGGGTTTGGGGCTGATCCTGGCTCTTGGCTCCCTCTGGGGTTTTGGGAACCTCTCTGCCTCAGTTTCCCCATCCACAAGGTGGGGATGATACTACTTTTACCTCACCAGGCTGTTGTGAGGAGTGAGCAGTGTGTAAAGTGTGCTCTAAATGTGACATGTTCTTACTATTTTGTGTCAGGATTATTCTGCAGGTGCCCCATCTCCTTGGGACGGTGAGTGCACCCTTGTGCTGAGGGGAGGTCAGTGCATGGTATGAGGCCTGAGACAGCAGCTCTGGGAGCTGGGGAGGGGGCCGAAGCAGAGCCCCTCCTGCCATGGGGTGAATTCAGCCCGGTTTGCTTCTGCCTTTCTGTCTCACCCTCCTGCAAGGGGCTGTAAGGCCATCGTCTCCTTAGCAACATTTCCTGACTTGGTGTTGTGATTCTTACTATTGTAAAGGGTTGAAATAAAGCTTCTAGATGTTCCCTCTCAGCTCGGGCGTGAGTTTGTGGGGTGGTTGGGAAGACTGGGCAGGGGGTGGTGGCACGGTCAGGGGCTGCCTGCTGTTACTGGTGGCAGAGGAAGCAAGAGAAGGGTGTTGGCAGTGATGCTTTCAGCCACTGGGAGATTCCCTGACTCGCTTTGCTCCTCCAGCTGGGGCTCACAGGTGCAGCCAGTTCACATCAGCACAACCTGGGGGTTTCTTCCTTCTCCCCATCCCACCTGGTTCCTCTTTGAGGAGTGGCCAAGCCCAGCTCCAGGACAAGCACAAGGGCATGGGCACAGCTGTGACTGAAGGAGGAGAGGGTCCAGGGGGCCACTGTCCCCTTCCAGCCAGAACCTCCATGCCCAGTTTTAAATAAAGGCGTTCTAGCCAGGCTAAGGCTTAGTGCACAGGAGGGATGCAAACAGCCCTGTCCTGAACAGAGTTTTGACCCAAGGCCATCAGCCACACAGGAGGCTTCACTGTCCCTGCACCCAGGCCCTCTCCAGCTCTGCGCTGGAGCCCCTGCAGCTCTGCCAGCCACAGCTGCTGTGGGTCCCTGGGCACCAGCAGCACCAGGACAGTCTAAGGAGCAGCTCAGGACCCCCCCCAGGAATCTCCTGAGGGCTGTCCCTGCCCATAGGTGCTCACGCACCCCTGGCAGCACCTCGACCTCTCCCTGCCCTCCAGCAGCAGAGCCAAAAACTCAACAGGAAAAAAGAATGAAGAGGACAGAGGCAGTTACTACTCTATCCCTTTTTATTGTCTTTAATCTATGTTGTAAAAAGATCCAGTATCACATAACAGCCACTGAAGTATCCCAATATCACACTAGTTCTGAACCATTTAGACAATAGCTTAGTCTTCTTTTTTTTTTTGGTCTTTTTTTTTTTTTTAAACCTGCTGGAAGGGAAAACCATAGTGCCCATTATACAGGCCAAAAGAAACAAACACTGGTCAAATAATAGTGACAACCTCAAGCAAGTGAAATGAAGATGAGAAGTTCTGCATGAACTCAGGCTGCAGGACCCCTGGTGCTCTTCACCCCAGAGCCACGGGGTCCTGCACCAGCACCATCGCTCCAAGGGCTGAGGCCGCAGCTCTGCTAAAGCCCATGACAAGTAAATTAAATCCTAGTAGAGAACAACTGGGAGAACCCAATGTAGCCCCCAAAGGGAGGCAGCTCCCAGGCTGAGCATGGGATGGAAGCTGCTGGGCTGGAGGCCCTTCGCCACCATTCCCATGTGTAGAAACAGCCTCGCACCCACACTCTGCTGAGGGATTCCTGCCACTTCCCTTTCCCAGCAGAGTGCTGCCCATGGTGGCCTTTGATTTCCGATACAAAGAGCATAAGAAATGGTGAATAAAAACAAATGACCCCAGACCCTTTTGCTCAGCTGCCAGGGAGAGCTGCAGCCATCCCCTGCCCCGCTTCCCCCTCACTACAGCACATCACTGGCCCCATGAGTGTGAAGTACACATTCCTCTGCCACACACATTACCAACAAGCACGAAGCCTCACAACAGCCCTGTGAGGTAGGTCACTGTCTTCAGCTGACAGGGAATCCAAGGCAAAGCTGGGATTAAACTCCACCTTTCTTATTTAATGCTGTGCCTGTCACAATCCTCCTCCTGTAGAAATATGGTCCCTGTTCATAGAAAACAAAAGGTTTTGTGCCTTTGCTCCTGGCTTCCTGCAGGAGAAAGCGCTCACAGGCATCTAGCATCGCGTCCTGTGTCGCACAAGTTACAGGGATCCGGCCTCCTGGACATAGGGAGAACAAGAAAATAAAATAAAGAACATAAGAACAACGCAAGAGGACAGAAAGTACAGGCAGGTCAGGAATGACAGGTCACATCTCACACTCGTAATGCCACGACTGCTGTGGGGTGTCAGGGCCCTGCTGCGAGGCTCTGAGGTACCATGTGGAATGTCACATCCGTCCGGTGCCATCAGGGCTTCCTCCCCTCCGTTGTCCACTGGGGACAGTGAAGACAATGGCGATCTCCACGCTGCACCATAGCTGCTGGGTCCACACTCAGCCTGGCTCTGGCGCCCGTCACAGGCACAGCTGCCAGCCGAGACACTGTCTCCTGAGGCGGGAGAGCCACTGCGGCCTGGCCCCGTGGGGATGGGGCAGAGGTCGGCCACAGCTGCTGTGTCCTCGCTTCCCGGGTCAGGGACTGACGCGGTGCAGAGCAGAGGAGGTGGGTGTCCATGAAGCTCGCGTCAGGGGCCGTTGGTACTCCCAGTCCATTCCCGGCAGTACAGCGCTGGCTCTTCCTATGCGTTGACCATGCACGGAGCCGACAGCAGGAGATTCAGACAACATTAATCTTCTAGGATGGAGAGAGATGACTTCACAAGGGATAAATAGAACTTTATTTAAATAAACATTTGTGAACATCTTTATACAAATTACAAGTCCCCACACAATCCTCCAGCTCTGCCTAAGCACCAAAGCTGCCAGGAGGGCCTTTGAGCAGATCCACCAGGATGTCGAGCAGCTGGCTGTGCTGGTGGTGCAGGTCCCCAGGGATGGCTGCCATCTCATAGCACAGACACGTCTCCACCATCTTGGAGAGCGACACACGGAAATCACGCAGGAGGCGTATGGTGTAGGAGTCTCCCTCCAGCACCAGGAGATCACTGTCTGTCAGGGAGACTGTTGCTCGCCAGCCATCATCTTAGTGGGAAGAAGAGAGCAGGTGAGAAGCATGAATGGTGTGGACCTGTTCAGCTTGTGCTGGATGCTTGGCCCTCTCCATCACCACAGCTGGAGCAGCACAGGTCCTCCCCCCATTCACTTTATCCCAGAGTCCGGGGACTTAACTGGGCCAACCTGTTCCCACAAAAGCCAAGCTGCCCGCTAAGCCCTCAGACTGGGATACTCCCGCTGCTTCCCTTTGGAGGCAACCGACTGCACAGCCCATCTGAGCTTGAGGGCCACAGACCCACTGCAGCATTGCCAAAACCCCACAGGCTAATGCTACACATCCATGGGGAGAAGGGCTTACTCCTCCCTGCACACCAGCTATGGCTGCAGGCCAGCTCCACTCCTCATTCCCCAAGGATGAGCCTTCGGGCACCAGCCTGCTTACTCAGCCTGCCTATGGTTCAGTTTCCTTGTCTCCCTGGGGAAGCTACAGCTGAGAACAGCTTACAAATAGTCACCTTTGTGGCCCCACTAAGCAACACCCCATACAAAGCAAGAAGTTTAGAATGCAGGAAAAGATGGTTGGCCAAGGGAAGTAGCTGAGATGAGGGGTGGCCACCTTGCATCCCCTCAGGCTGTGGCACAGCTGTAGGAGTGGGGTGTTTGGGGGGTCAGGCATAGCATGAGGACCCTGTAGTGGTGCAAGAGGATGTGCAGATAGACGCGTCAGCCCCATGGCTGCTGCAGCACTCACCTCGGACGTGGATATCTGTGTCGGTCATGAGCAGCACGGCCAGCGGGTGGACCTGGGAGGAGTCCCGCACAAACACCCCACCGTTGGACTTCACCGCCATGAAGTATGTTAGCCAGCGGCTGTACAGCTTGGACGCCTCCCTGCACAGGGGAACAGCTTTGTCAGGTGCGGGACTCTGGTTCTGGCCCATATTGGTGGGCTGGGGTGTCCCCCTCTCCATGGTCACAGGCACACCCCAATCACCCACCTGTTGATTGTTGACTTGTGGAGCAGAACAGTGCCAGCCTTTGTCCTATATGCGTAGCTGTTGGGTTTGAACTTCCCCTGTCGGGTCACTTTGCCTTGTCTCACCTGAAACGAGAAAAGCATCTCCACTACCTGCAGAACCAGCAGGCACTGCCCACCAGCAGCCAGCCTGGCTTCCCACACAACTGTGTCTCCAGCATGCATGTAGGGGCAAGTATGTTCCTCTACTTCCAGAAGCTTTGCTGTATTACCAGATATATGGGGATGACGTGGCAGTGACTGAACACCAGGAAAGGGGCAGCAAACAGGAGGAGGAAGATGCCACCTCAACAGCTCCCAGGACAAGCTACAGGAGCCCAAGCCTGTGCAAACTGGGGTGGCCGCTCCTCACGAGGAGTGGTCCAGGGACAGCACTGGAGCAGCAGCAGAAGCACAAGCAGGCAGTATGCCTAGGACACATATTCCCAAGAGAGAGCAAGCATCTCTGGTATCCTCATGCTTCCCCATGCTACCGGCAGTGACCAGCAAGCCCAGGAGAGCGACGGCAGAGTGGGGAGAGGCAGTACCTGGATGAGGTTAGGGTAGAGCCCAGCCATAAGGACTCCCTTGACAAGTTCTTCCTCTTCACTGTACTGGTTACATACAGAGGATGGCATGGTACAGTCAGATGGGGACGACACCAAGAAGGCTTCATAGAGGTTCTCAGAGAACTGCTTGACAAGGCCTACAGGGAGGAGACAGCACCAAGGAATGAGATTCACCCTCTCCTTCACCCCGCTGAATGAAATAACCTCAGCAGGGCAGCAGCAGCTCTGGTCTCAAAAGCTCAGCCTCAGACAGGAGACATGTCCTGCCTGTGGCCTCCCCGGCACACAGGGTCACGTCTGCACTCCCCAGTGCCAAAGCCAGAACCTGCACCCAAGTCCAGCAGCCTCCCACCCTGTCTACCCATTTCTGCACCATGTTCTTCACCAGTGCTTCAGCCTTTCCAGAGGACAGAGAGGAGAAGCATGCCTCTCAGACTCACCATTGATGAAGCGAAGGCTGGGGCCATACAGGTAGTAGTCCTGCAGGTAGTTATCCCTGGCACGACTGTCTCTACGCCTCAGCACCTCCTCCCAGCCTGCCACGGCCCTGACAAATGCGAGGTGATCACTCCCACTCTCCCGGCTCAGAACAGCCTTGGCCTGCAAGACAGAAACATGCGTCAGCCAAGCGGCAGGCCCTTCCCTGCCCACTTCCCACCTTCCTCTAGGAGGAACTCCTCACCTTGTCCACCTCTGCACGGTTTTGCAGGCTGCTGCTGAAGGGGTCTCGGGTGAGGCAGGAAACGATGACGAGCAGCGGGTGGAGGCAACGGTAGATGGATGCCAAGACAATGGCCTTTGCTAGCCGAGGATCTGTGGAGATCTGGGCAAGGCGCTTACCCAGGGTGGTGAGGGCTTCTCGCTGGTCCAGGACTCCTGCAACAGAGCCACTCATGAGGGCTTATCCCTCAGCTCCAAGTGGGGACAAAGTGGTTGTCAGTGGCACGAGCGACCCAGTAGAACCCACCTAGCAGGCTTGGAAGATCTGGCATAACCTCCAGAAGAGGGACATGGCATAGGTGCCAGAAATAAGCACCCAGAACCTCCCAGGTCTAACTGACCTGAGGCCAAATGACAATCAACAAAACCAAAGCTATGAACTTCAGACCACAAGTTTCCTTCTTTCTGTCATTTCCCCTTTTTTTTTTAAACCTTGGGAAGTTCTCACCACTTCTTGGGCAGAGCAGCGTGGGAAATACAACAGCACTACAATGTGTGTGGTTTGAGAAGTCCCTATCAGCTGCCAGCCCTATCTAGGGACAATCCTGCCCAGTCTGTCCCACAGGATCCTGTGCCAGCTCCCACTTCCCATGTTTAGACAGCAAACATGTTTCCATCACACCCACATGAGGACATAGCCTTAGCTCACCGATCTCCTGCAGCAAGATCACTGCTTCATCCACAGCTTTGATGTCAGGGCTGTCCAGAGCCTTTGAGAGAAATTCAACTGCCTACAACACAGCAGGGGGAAGGGAAAAGAAAAAAAAAAGGCATGTTTCCTGTACAGGAGCATGGGAGAGCCCTCAGGAGCCCAGTGGCCTGCCCCAGGGCCCCAGACTGCAACGGTTCCCTCTTTGTTTGCCTACAGGGATATGAGCTCAGCCCTCGTTTCTTGCAGTCTTTTAGACATACTCTGCAATCTAAGTAACCTATCCATTTCCTGGTTGTAACTTCCCTAGACACCACTGACAGCATTTAAGAAAGCAAGAACTAAAGTCAGCAGCATCGTGGGCTTTTCCTACTCATGTCTGTGGTCAAATCATGTCTCGAACTGGCACCAGGCAGACTGCTGGTCCAGTCAGCTGCAGTCCTGCAGGGAGGTGCTGTGCTTACCGTTTTCTCTGGCATGTGGATCTTGGCCTGCACCACCAGGTTCTCCAGTGGGGTGCGTAGGATCTCTGGAACCTGGTAAGTTGGCATCTTGTCCAGGCGGCTGCGTGGGAAGAGGTGATAGGCAAATCCTGACTGACAGCGACCAGCACGCCCTCGCCTCTGCACCACATTTGACTTGGACACCCACACCGTTTCCAGGCAGGACACCTAGGGAAAG